TAACATCGGCAATAGAAAAAGAAAGACTATATAATGTAATGAAACTAACGCCAACTACAGAGAATACCGACTGCTACAACCAATATAAAAATAAATTTATAGAGCTTGTAAGGCAAACCAAACGAAAACATTACCTAAATAAATTGAATAACAACTTAAATGATCCGAAGCGGCTTTGGACAACTATTGATGAGATTACTGGGTAAACAAAATTTAAAGAGTGTGTCACTGAGTTAAATACAACATCGGGAACAGTACTAAAAAATACTCAACAGATATGCGATGAATTTGTACAATTCTTTACTGACATAGGCGAAAATTTAGCAAGTAATATACAAGCAAATGTACAAAATACTCAGCCTCCAAAAAGAACTTTGAACTCATTTATTTTGGATAAAGTTGAGCAATGTGAAGTATACACCACTGTTATGTCCTTAAAAAATCGGAAAAGTCCTGGGATCGATGGTATTAAAAGCGAGCATTTGAAAATTATAGCCGAGGACATAACATAACCACTCACTTAGCTAATCAACAAATGCTTTGAATCTGGCATATATCCCTCAATTTTAAAAAAAGGTAATATAATACCGATACATAAATCAGGAACAAAAACAGATGTTAACAACTATAGATCAATATCATTAATATCCAGTGTAGCAAAGGTTTTTGAAAAAGTTTTATCTACTAGAATAATTCGATACCTCACAAAATTCAAAATTTTAAGTGAAAATCAATATGGATTTACAGACGGGAAGGCTACATCGGACGCAATAACTAAAATTGTAAATCAAATACATCAAAATATTGATAACAGAATCCCTTCAATCTGCATTTTTGTTGATTTAAAGAAAGCTTTCGACACATTTAATCACAAATTATTTTTAGAAGCATTGGAGAGAATTGGTTTCAGAGGAAACGCGTACTCACTGATCGAAAGTTATTCGTCAAATCGCCCACAATCTGTGCAGATATCAGGATGATTTAGTAAAGAAATGTGGTGTCCCACAAGGAACTGTCTTAGGTCCGCTGTTATTCAATATATATTTAAATGGTATTTTCCAAATTAATTGTGTTGGCAAAATAACTAGTTTTGCAGATGATAGTGCAATATTATATGAAGGCACTGACTGGTCTGATCTGAAAAATGTAATTGAAAATGATTTTATCAAAATTATTCGGTGGTTTAACAGTAGAAAATTAAGCATTAACTACTCTGAAACACATTTTTTACCATTTGGATCTTATGCTAGACATCTGCCAAATTACACAAATTTCTCATTCAATATTAATGATCAAAAAATGCAAATTAATAGAGTGCCCAACATAAAATATCTTGGAGTGGTCTTGGATCCTCACTTACGATGGGACATCCATGTCAATTATATTTTAAAGAAAGTTAGATTTGTATCCTACAAAATTAAATACCTTGGGAATATACTGTCAGAAAAATATCTTCGAACATTATACCATGCATTAATTGAGCCTCATCTCACACATGGTATATTAGCATGGGGAGCTGCATGTTCCTCACATATCTATAATTTTGATGTTTTTCAAAAAAGTATTCTAAAAATTATGTTTAAAAAACCGAAACTTTATCCCACTGAAAAATTATACGCAGATGTTCGAATGTATGATATAAGACAGCTTTATTTCTTACACAGTATCACTCACTACCATAAATTTGTAAACACCGACCAAAAAATTAAACATAATCATTATATCAGGTACAAAATTCGTGGCACAGTAGTTCCTCAACCGCATAAATCTATAATGCAGCGATCATATCTCTATTTAGCTTCTAAATTTTATGAAATTATACCTAAAGACTTAAAAGATTTACGTTTCGGAAATTGTTTCAAAAGAAATTTAAAAAAGTGGCTACATTCTATATCTAGGACTGAAATTCATAAACTCATGAATACGAACATCAACTAGATACATAATCTACTGTGACTAATTTTTGTGCTTTTTTGTCATTTGCATTCTACAGTTTCAACTTAAATTATTGGTCCATGTACAGGCGATGCCTTCTATTGGGCCTGTTTTGATTTTATATTTATTTACTCATATTGTTTGTTATCTTTGTACATTGAGTGAATAAATATTATTATTATTATTATTATCTGTTAACCATTTCACCGAGGCTTCTTTATACCAACCTTTCGTAATAAGTTTGGGTATCTGCCGTGTAGCTGTTTATCAGTCCATTCGCCCCCCCCCCCGGTCTTTTGTCGACTTAGGCTTACCTTTCGTACCGTCCGAAAGACATTCCAGGGTCATCACTGAAGCGTCTGTGCATACAATTGTACAGCAGGTGAGACAGTCTTCTGTCGTTTTGCACATAGCCACATTTTGTGATATTGAGCAGCATCATAACGGATTGAGTGCCAAACAGAACCCCAAAGGAGATAAATAGTCTCTTTGAAATATGCCCCTATTCATTTTTAGTATGGTAGTGTTTCCACTTGGAGTGCGGAGTCTAGTCTTCCACAGGCCCATGCCATATCGCAGCAGTTTATAATATCGGGGATATCTTATAAGCTTCGAAGGCGCTTATAAACCAGTCATGCGGTACTGAATCGAAAGTCTTGGCATACTCTATATTTATAGGATATGCTCCTTTGTTACCTCTAAGTTTATTTTAGAATAACGGCATCTAAGGTTAAGAGTCCTTTTCACCCCATCGCTGCCCTTTTTTGTATTTCTTCTGGTATGCGGTTGTCGACACAATGTTAGTAGATTTTATCACCAATCAGAGCTGTTAGTAGTTGATATACTACCGAGACACGTTATTGGTCTGTAGTCGTTTGGTTTTGTTTAGAAAAGAAAGCTGGTATACTCTCTGGAGCTTGAAACAGACTCATAAAGCAACGATCTAGACTGGAGTGTATTGCTGGAAAGTATTTTTTTAACCGAAAGATGTGCATCTGTTTGGGCCAGGCGTTTTCCAGCTATTGGTGCGCTTTACAACTTTAGTTATATCCTCAGAACTGAATCATCCATTTCTCGAATAACATTCGGTTTTTTTTTTGACGTAGGTGTTCTGTTCATGTGTTTGGTTGGTTATACAGGGTGCGGCAGAGAGGATGGACGTTTTTGGGATAGGTAGTACTCTCCGCCTCCGTCTACGAGAGAGGTGGGGAGGGTACCGTTTGACTCGTGATATCCTAGCATTATTTTGCCAGTTGTCGTTATGGAGCCTGGGACGGTGGAGCACCGCGTTTTCGCCTATGATTGTTTCGTCCGAAATAATGAGTCAGTCATCGTCGTACAGCGTGAGTTTCGTCGCCACTTCAACATTAATCGGAATTCCCTCTCGAAACACCATCCTTCGTTGGTTTGAATCACTTCGCAGGCGTGGTGAACTGATCAACAGAAGACCAAGAGGAGCGCCTCGAACAGTTCGAACTCCTGAAAATGTTAAACGCGTTCGACAAGTCTTTCTTCGCAGTCCGACTCGATCTGCCCTCGGTAAGGCGAATTTTGAATATGGATCTCCGCTTTCACCACTACAAATTGGCCATTGTGAAACAGTTACAGCCCGGAGATTATGCGCAACGAATGAACTTCGCACGTGAGATGGAAGCACTGATCGATCAAAATGAGAACCTCATTTTGTTTATGAGTGACGAATCCCACTTTCACCTAAACAGCGTGGTTAACCAGCAGAATTGTCGTTATTGGACTAATGAAAATCCATAACAGTCACACGAAAGACCGCTGCACAGCCCAAAAGTAACGGTTTGGTGCGCTGTATCGCAAACTTGCATAATTGGCCCTTACTTCTTCGAAGACGGTAATGCTCGTGATGTTACTATGAACTCAGAGCGCTACGTCGACATGATCACCAACTTCTTTCTCCCTGAATTACGATGGCGACGTGTTCCAATCCGACGTGTGAGGTTCCAGCAGGATGGGGCGACCGCCCACACAGCCCGAGCATCCATGGACGTTATTCGCCCTCTCTTCCCTGGTCGCCTTATTTCCAGGTTTGCCGATGTTCATTGGCCTCCTCGGTCCCCAGATTTATCCATATGCGATTTTTTCTTATGGGGACACCTCAAGGCTAAAGTATACGCGAAGAAGACCCGAACTCTGGACGAATTGAAGGGCGAAATTCGCGTGGAAGTCGCCCAAGTTGAGAGAACGATGTTGGAGAGAGTCTACGCGAACTTCCAAGAACGCATCCAGCACTGCATCAACGATTTCGGCCACCACATGCCTGATGTGATTTTCCACACTTGACTGTCACAAATGCTATTTCCTTGTGAACCTTATTCCATCAATACATTTGTTTTCGAGTAAAAATTAACTATTTTATGATTTTTTTAAAACCGTCCATCCTCTCTGCCGCACCCTGTACTTCCTGTGGTCTGCCAACAGGCCTTTCCAGTAGTTTTCAAATTCACAGTGACTTAAATCAATACTATGACTGATTTTCATTATTGATTTTCATTATTGTCCTCTAAGGAATAACTTTTTACAATTATTTCGAAATCCGAAGTTTTGTTGCTTCCCCTTTGTAAGCTTGTTATATCTCGAGTCTTACCCCTTTCGCCTTTACGCCCTGTCTGAAATGGACTCGTAACTCTACCCGTTTTTCCTGATATTTGCGGTATCTCTCATATATTCCGGCTTTCTTAGCAAGATTTCTAGTTTTTCATTTTGGTTTACTTGCTCTGCGACTTTTCAAGTACTCTCCACTAGCATCATCCTTAGCTCTGAGCTTGTCTGTTTGGTTTTCTAACCGTTCCTTCTAAGGAGTATCGGGTGCTATTCGGTTTCTCTGATTTGTCTTATCGGTTTGGTGTACCATTCGTCCAACCTGTCTTTTGATGTTGGGAAGTTCTACTTCAGAAATGTACTTCTTTCTAATGATGATATTTTTACGTTCCGCTAGGTTTTGTTCTGATAAAGTCAAATTTCAACATCGCAGTTCAATTCACGTGCCCTCTTCCTACGTCTAGCATGTTCGCTCCTGCAAGAAGTTCTCCTACCTAAAGATGAGTCGACAGATAGAGTGGTGTTCTGTTGGTCCACTTTATCTTCAGTATTTACTTCCACGCTGTTGTTTTGGGCTGTCGCTACTTGAACGGTAGGGGCCCGCCTATCATATCCAACGCCAGCTCCAGATATGCCCTGACGATCACTCTCAGGCAGCGAGCCTTTTCTGAGGCTATATTTTGAATTTGTCTCCATAAAACAAAGATTATGGGTATCTCCCTTTTTACGACCCCATCATTGAGCGGAAGTACGAGAAACAAACCTTCTGGCACTAGGGGATCGCTAGCAGTAATGCGTATCCCTGGTGTAGTCTCGGTAGCTGATTTGGCAATACTGGCAATAGTGTACTAACCTGCCAGCCTTATTTATTGTTACTGTTAATATTATCATTGTGACATCTCAACTACCACGACGACAACGACACCTCTTTTGTTCATCTATCTTGCAGGTGCCAGTTTATTTGTTTCCTTTTGATTGCTGCTGTATGAATCGTGTTCGTTAACCACAAACATCATATCATACCGAAGGCAAGTCGAGTTTGCTTTTGGAAACGAAACATTAATGACTAAGTCCCATGCACAATCGCAAAGTAATAGAAGTTCAGCTGCATACTAAAGTAGGCTGCTTGATCTGCGATTTTTGGCAGAGCCAGTTTTTTTTGACAATCAAAGCTGAATGTAACCACCTCATTGTCATCATGGACTTCTTTCAAAAGCTCACAGAAGCACTTTGCTCGAATTTTGTGAGCCATTAATCGATTTTTTGTGTTGATATCTAATGACTTTTTTATTTTTTATTTTCTGGTAAAAAAACTTCTAATTCTAACCTGGAGATCTTTGAAGACGGCATTGTTAAACATTCTCCAAAGTTTTCTGATATTTAGTTCTGCAGGCAAATAAAATCTATTGAATGTCTTAGATCGGCAGCACTCTATGCACTTTAGTGATTCAACAAATTTTTTTATAGCCGCTCGCTTTGTGTTATTTTCATCTTTTATACGATCTCCTCCACGTCGTTCTTTGGGCATTTCATAGCTTTCCTTAAACCGTTTTACTACATTCAAAATCCTGTCTTTTTTAACTCCCAAAATGTCCATAAAACTCTGTCTGCACACATTAACCATCAGCCCATCCCTTCTTCTCACATAGTATTTCACTGACATAGATTTCGGCTTATTTTTTTCCTGTTTTCGTTTTTTTGATCTTTTGGGATCAGTAACGCTGCAGTGCCTCAATATAAAATTGTCCTGGGAGATTTTCTCTGATGTTTTGTAAAATCAGTCATAAACAAATTTTACATATCTCATGGTCAGCAATGATATACATTGAAAGGGCTGGTACGGCTTACCTACATGCCAACATTTTGGAAATGTTGGCAATAATTTGCAGAATACTTTGAAAAATACATACAAATAAATTACTATTGCTACCGTGTAACTAAGTATCTATTAGCTTACCTGTTGCGTTTTGCATGTTCTCGCTTAGACGGCGTTTTAACTTTCTTTCGAGATCTATTACCTTCCGATGGTAGACATTATATTTTTCGCAATGCAATTAACTCATATTTTAGGCTATAATACTATCAAACTAGATCGCACAACTTTAATTTCTAGACTAAATGCAAATTAAACAAAAGGTGTATAGACTAATCATACCAGCAAATTTCAACGAAATAATTGTAAAGTCTGGTTTCATTGGTAGAAGTTGTTCAAGGGGGTGTTTAAAACATGGAAGCATAAAATGGGTACGGTAATTTTTGTGGGAAAAGTTTTTGACACCAAAGAATGAGAATACGTGTTTTTTGGGATTCAATCGAATGTGTTGACAGGAACGAAAAAACTTTTCATATAAGATTTTTAGGTATTTATGTGAGCTACAAAATGAAACCACACGTGAAAAGATCCGATCAGTAGCAAAAATGTTATGGCCGAAAAACGAAGCAAAATGCAGGTTTTGACACTTGTTGGTAATGCGACGATAATTTCACGCAACTACTTGACATTCTTCAAATCCGTAGGATTCACACTCAACAAAGCGGGTGTGTCTATCATCTTGTTGCGAATTACTCACAAATACGAAACGTTTGAGTTTGTTTAGTAGAAAAAACGTAACCCATCCTTTTTTGGATAAAAATAACATTTATCTTCCGAAATAGGTTGCGATTCATATTGGCAAGGTATAAAATGCCCTTTCAACTGACCCTGTATGTTGCTCAGTGAACTAGTAGTGATGGCCGAAACACAGGTGTTTTAGGATGAAATAATTGGAAATTCTCAGAAACTACTTGACCAATCTACACCAATTTTGTTGTGGTTATTTAGAAGTACGAATCCTACGAATTTGAAGAATTTCAAATATTTGCGAGAAACCATCGTCGCATCACCAACAAGTGCCAAAACCTGCAGTTTGTCTCATTTCTCGGCCATAACTTTTTTGGTATTAGTCGGATCTTTTCACGTGTGGTCTCATTTTGTAGGTCTTATAAGTACCTAAAAATCACGAATGAAGGGTTTTTTTTGGTCCTTCCAACACTTTCGATTGAATCCCAAGAAACACGTTTTCTCATTCTTTGTTGTCGAATACAAAGTTTTCCCACAAAAATTGGTGTACCCATTTTATGCGTCCATATTTTGAATACCCTCTTGAATATCTTGCAGCAGTAAAACCAGACTTTACAATTATTTCATAAACCAGGGGTATTTTCGTCTAATATGATTAGACTAATGCAAGTCGGGGCGCCAAATCTAGACTGAAACAAGTGATTGAGACCAAACACGAATTCAATTAGTCGACATGGATATGTCGGTATTTGAATTTAAACGGCGCGGCGCGTCATAGGTAATTTCTTTCAACCCACGTTAATTTTATAACTTTGTCCAATGTTTTGTTCCATTTCTATTTTCGATTTAGAGATATCTTCATTATTCTTACATACAATTTTCACAGCTCCATCTTTGAAATCGGTAATTTTTGTTATAGAAACACTCATTTTGGCGGGGTTAATATATTTGCTCAATACTTTCTTTGATTGAAGGCAATTTTGATTTCCAGTAACTGGTTTTATAACAATTGTATTTTGTAGTTCAGGTAGAGAAACAACCACATTGTTAATATTATTGGATTCCTTAAATGCCATTGTTGGTTCACTTGGATCAATATTTCGTCTATTTTTCACAACATCACTAAAAGATAGGGACTGTTCTAGAACAACCGCTTGTATTTGTGGTATTAAATTATCAACTGAATGTTGCTGTCCTGTGTTTTTGGCCATATCTGCATAAGATCTACATGGCTTTGTCGTTTTCGTTCTATCTTCAATTTGCCTTTGTAATGATTCAATCTTTTCATATAATTCCTTGATCAATTTTTCTTGAATTGATATTGTATAGTCTTTTAATTTGAGTATTTCCTTTAAACAAAAATTTGTCTCATCCAATATTTTCTCAGTTTCTACTTTATCACTATCTTCCTCATCATTTGGTGTCTCCATAACTATTTCACAGAATCGGGCAGTGGGCCGCAGAATTATTACACCAGAGCACCGGAAGTAGCACCAAGTCACCTTTCAGGGGCTTGACTCTAAATTAGTTTCGACCGTTGAAATTGATTTCGATAGCGCCTTGTGACGATATACTCGATTCGCTATGATAATATTGACATCTGATTCAAATTATCATGGCAGTGTCAAAATTATCATAGCTAATCAAGAATATCGTCACAAATTATTCGACCAGGAGAAGTGTTTTGTGGCGGACAATTCATATGGTCCAATTAATTTTTTGTTGAGTACTCCAGCCCATAAATTAACGCCGAACTGACGTTGACAGCTGTGTCGGCAAATACCGTGTGAACTTTCCACGCTCCATGAATGGAAATTGTGCATTTATACATATATGTCCATAAGATGCTGTCGAAAAAATTTTAATCCTCTTGGCCCCTTCTAAACATATTCTCACAAAATTCAACCCGTTGTGCATAGTCGCTTGGAAGCAATTCTTGTACTTTTTGTACATGGTAAGGATGCATGTTCTTCGTGCGTAGTATTGTGTGCTCTGAACTATGGGATATGTATCTGCTTCGGGCAATGGCTGTGATGCTTATAGAGGGATATCTATCGGCTGCTTCTATTATATCTTTTATTTCTTTTGGGGATATCCTCGGCGCTCCTAGCTGATGATGAGTGCCTAGTATGCGGCACTCCATATACGCATTATGGACGCGTAGTCAAACGCGGTAGTCGGGATATATCACCGGTTGTGGTCCTCCTCTTCTAACCACATACTCCCGACACATGCGAGCAGCTGCTCGAGCATTTCCTAGGGCAGCACCATAATAGTAAATGCATTTCTGCATAATCTCGCGGAGAATATGACATGATTCTACTTAGATGCCAAACGTTAGATACAAATTCCAAGCTGGACCATTGCCTGACTTAGTAATTTCGGTCGGACCGAAGATTGAATGCTCCCGCATCTGGAATGCCGAGTTGAATGCCCAAGGTCATTAAGCTGATTTGGCTATTTGCGCAGAAAATGCGCCGTTTTCATTTCACGAAATTCTAATACACACAGTATCACGCGCGCTGCTATGTCGAATCTAGGAGTACCTCATATGTCAAAATCCATAATATCGTTTGGACTGTAGCTCGCAAAATAGAATTTCCTGTTTACATGTGTAGTTACCCACCTGCATCAAACATACATTTTTTTAAGGTAAGGCGAGGCACTTATCGTAGCAAACTGAAATTTTCAGGGTTTATTCTCCATGGATTGAACTAGCTTTTACAATAAAGTAAATAATGAAATATAACCTCATTTTTTTTACTGCCCTCCAAAGTTAAGGGATAGAAGAGATTTTTCGCAGAAATTTCTAATTAGCTCTGTTAAAAAGTAACATAAGCGTTGCTAACGATAACCATTTAGCTCATCTCAAAATCACAGTCCTATACCTAATAGTTTAGTGGTAATTGCGACTGAATGTTCATTATCCCGTTTTTTTTCGAAATTTTACAAAATTGCAAATATCTCCTGAACTATAAAATTTCGAACAGCACATATATTCGATATGTTTTGAGGCGCTCTATCACCTGACTTCTGTTGATCCATTACTAATATTACACCCTGTATACGATTCATAGACTTGTCTTTGGGGAGATCGACCAATTAAGCATATATATAATATATATATATATACAGGATAAGTTCAAATTCAAATTGTATATTATGGGATCCTTGTTACGGACAAACTGAGGTATGTTACTTATTCAAGATACAGCAGTGAAGTAATATTCATACTGAGATAAGTTCAAACAGGTCCCTGAAAATATTCATGAGGAGGTAAGTTAACTTATCCCTTTCGGTACAAAAATATGAGCTGTATCGCTCCAGGAAAAACCAACAACAAACTCGACTTATATCATTCCGCCCGCAATATTGTATAGTCTAGCTACATACTTGTCAAATCCTGTCGTTGAGAGAAGTGTTTCAAATACACAGATGATGACATCATCAAGAATTCGCACATTGTTGCAATGTATTTTACCGTATTAAAATCCCATCCAAGAGTTAAAGTGCATGTTAGACATCGGGTTTTGCGCTTGCATTATTTGTAGCCCTTTAGATAAGGAATTTAATGGTGTATAAAACTGAAATTTAAAAATATTGTGACTTGTCGGGTTTTGCATTTAGACGACTGATTTGAGAATTACATATCATGCTTTATTTGAAGGTCATTTGGCATTATGGAATATTAGCATGTAGTACCCAACAAACACATCTTCATAGTCTTGAGATAATTAAAAATATTCAAAACTATATTTAAACTACCTGTACTGTACTGTATCCTTCTGATACTCCTTACAAGGAAACTATAATTTTTGGCTTAGTCTAAGTTATTTTCATTTCAATGTACTACCATAAGAACAGAAGTGAACACAAAAATAATTGACCGCGAATATCGTACAAGGCGCAGCTCAATATCTAAGTATTTACCTAAGCCACTTAAAAGTATAATGCAGAGATCATATCCATATCTGTCTCCAAAGTCATAGGATATCATTCCTACGATTATTTATCAAACAAGTACATGACATCATTTAGGAACAAATTGAGGATTTGGTTAAATGACCAATCTTGTGTTTAAATTTATAACCATGTCATTTGAAATAATTAATATTTTTATAAGCCAACGATTATTTGTCATACTTTCTAATAGTGATATTGTAGAAATATACATTAAATGAAAAAATGCACGTAGGTGAAATACTAACCTCATGCACAGGGTATCCTTCTGTGAGGTAGGTATGTACCCTAAGTTATTTTTAGCTGCACACTGTATCATTTCAAATATTTCTCATGCATTTATACATTGTTTTGAATCAATCTAACCAATTTAATGTGAATGTTTGATGCATTTGTGATCTATGTGATTCCCTTGTAGAGGTTTATTTATCCATTTCTGCTTGATTTCATTCCTGAGTCTCTATTTACACTGATTTCTTGTTTCTGCTCCCAGCGCTGTCATATTCAGGCACGTCAGGCCACAGGCGACATTTCTTTTTCCTTGTAGTCGCAGACAATTTTCATGGGCTTTTTATCAGTTTTCAGCGTTATGTATTCTGAAACTCCTGTTAGAGTAGTAGCAAATATCGATTCTATGTGTAAGAAACCTCTTCCACCCTCCGATATTGAAGTGTATATTCTATCAGCATTTGCACGAGGATGCAATAAGCTATGTATAGTTAGAAGTTTCCGAGTCCTGTCTAGTTTTTGTATTTCATCCTTATTCCAGTCTACTATACCTTTACTGTATTGAAACAACCACCAAGCTGAAGATCGCTACTCATTTATTCTTAGCGTTGACCTGTGATCTAAGTCTCTTTCTGACTCTTCTACAGTATTACGCCTTAATCCGCTTTTTCATTTGAGTATCCTGCATACTATCTCTCTCGTCGATTCCTAAATAGTTATATATTTTATCATGAGTTACTTTCTGAATTTCTGTTGTTTCATCTAATTTGATGTTTGTACGGCTATGGAGTTTTCCTTTTATGAATGAGGCTTTTGCGCACTTATCGAGACCGAAATACGTATTGATCTCGTCATTATTATTCTTATGATTATCATTATTATTCACACGTTTACTCAATTAGTAGCTAGGAATAAACGCCGCTTAGGTGATTTTTACGCAGATTAATCTCATTGGCAGCGCCAGGCGGATGTTCATCTTACCCCGTGACGCTTCCTAAGAATTTTCTGACAATATGGCATGTTTGTAGTATTACCGTTTTTAGTACTTGATTTAACATCAATTCAGGCATCTCCATATTTTTCGTCAAGTTGGTACATACACTATAGGTAATGTTCGCACTTACATCCCATTCGTGCTGAATCTCCATCGCCAAAATTTTCATACTTACTTACTTTTTCTGCATGGGTCTGTTGTGGAAAAGATGACATGCTATATCTATGATTGTACACCTTTTCTTGGTTTTATCAAACAGTATAATATCAGGCCGGTTGTAATCTACCGTGGGGTCAGTGATTATAGGCCGGACTCAGGCACTAGTTCAGGACTGTACTCGTATATAGAGTAAGGATCAGGATTTGAAACTAAATGAAGTTCCTTCACCAACTGCAGGTCTATGATTTTTGCAACTTAGTCGTACCGGCCAAGGTAGGTAGTACTATAGCTCATAAAGCTGCTATAATATGCTCGATTGTCGTATTTGGAGACCGGTATTTGCGGCAAACATCTTCAGTATTTTGCTTCATCATATATTTTTCATAATTTTTTGTACGAACAACACCGTCCTAAATAGATATTAGAAACCCTTCTGCTTCTAAGTAGAGATACCATTTTTTAACCAGACCAATGACTCCTTTCTATCAATGTTCTGATTGGACAGTGATTCAGGGTATTTACAATGGAGCACTTTTTCAGGCTACAAGGTTTCCATATCAGTTTGTGGTCTTAAACGGTGCTCTGCATCACCCCTTTATCTTAGATTTAGTGAAGTATTCTTGTTATCTGCTGCAATAAGAAATCTGTGTGTGGATCTTCTTTGTTTTCGACATAACTGTTTAATATTTATCTACCCCCTGCCAGCGGCCTTTCTAGGGAGATAGAGTGGTTCAACAGCAGCTTTTAGATGATGTGTCCTGCATTTAGTTAGTAACTCTCAGGTCATCCGGTGCAAATCGTCTAAATCAGTGTCCATATTTTTAGGGTATTTAAGTTTTGGCACAAAAATCCATTGGCTTTAATTTTTCCAAACACAAAATAGTATCAGGTTGCCTTTGGAAACAAACGTTTGTGTACTTACTTTACTGGAGACTGGCTCGTCAATACAGACCTTCTAAGAGTATGATATCGTTGGAATTGAGGAGGAGTGGTCTTAAATATCGAAAGAGACTTAAGTGCCCCAAATAGTCTCAATCTCAACTCCTTCGTATACCTAGATGCTGTTGTCAACTGAGTCGGGTACACTTTGCCAATGGAAAAATCATTATTTTAGATGATTTAAAGTATTTCACTTTGAGTATTTCTGAAATGAAGGGAAACGACGGATTTTATACGGACAGCGTAGAGAAACGCCCTAACAATGTAAGATATAAACATAAAACGAGATTTGCAGATAAAATCCTGGTCTGATGCGCTTTTTCTAACAGCGGTATGTCCCAACATTTAGTGGGAAAAGTGAGTGGTGAAGCTTTGAATAGTCAGAGCTATATTAATAACCGCCTTTCCAAATTGCTTCAGTTTGTCCACGAGCATCATGCTAATGACCACATCATGTTTTGGCCAGACCTAGCATCGTCATTACACAAGAGATACCCAAAACTAGCTTTGACAACGCAACATGTATTTTGTTTCCAAAAACGAGAATCCTCCAAACTTGCCGCAGGCTCGTCCAATAGAGAATTTTTGGGCTTTATTGTCTAGGAAGGTTCATCATGAAGGTTGGTAAGCCCAAGGTGAACAATAATTAAGAAGGCGAATTCATGAAAGCTTAGAGAAATTGATCTAAATTCCGCCCAGAACCTCATGAGACACATTCGAAGAAAGTTGCGTCTGGTAGAGCAGAATGGGCCACTCAACATAATTCAATATCATAGTTTGATTAAGTATTGAGTTGTAATTTATGATAACTAGTTAGTGTTTAAATAATTTCTTCATTCAAGAAAAACCGATAAATATTTTGTGCCATAACTTTTAAGACATACGTGAAGTATACCAAATAAGGAGGTCAGGACTGAAATTGCCTATGTATTTAGGTTTAGGTTGCGTGATATATACGTCCATGTTGTGCTATTCCTAAATATTAGTAGCTTTCTGCTGAAGAAAGGGCAGGAATTTCATTGTGAGCCATATCTTCGACTACTCCTCCTTTTTTAATAGTCACTGTGGCACTTTTACTTAGATTAATATTTATTTTAATTTCTCTACTGAATTTGCTGTTTGTTGTGAGCAACATTCCTAAGTAACAGCTATTTTCTGCGCACCACTTGATATCATCCATGTAAGTGTACATCAACTGGCTTAGTCTAGTATCTTGTTGAATGTTTAGCTGATACGTGTGCTGCTTTCTGTTAAGCAATGAAGACAAAGGGTTGTTCTTTACACCCAACGCTTCTCTCTATGTATTCTTTCTGCTCCTGTACCAGTATATTATTATTCTCGCAATGTCCATAAATTTTTGCATACAAGGTAAACTAGAAAAAGCATTTAGCCAGTAATCTTGGATTTGGTCCAGACCTGGACACTTCCAGCTTGAGGTAAGTTGAATAGAGTCTTCTGCAGAAATTTCTATGTTGCAGATAGGTTGTATCCTTTCTACTTCATGTTCAACATTACATAGCCCCTGCGCGTTTCGATTATGGTGAACAGATGTGGACCAAACATCAGCACTAATTAAAGACCTTTGAGTCAGCTCGTCTCTGTAAATGTTTAGCCCTTCTCTGAACTGTTTGTCTGTTTTTATAAGTTTTATTTTCTATCCACAGTAACGTTTTCACGTTTTGCAATACTCTACTACTTCCGCTTCCTTTAAGGTATGCATCACTCGTGTCTACGTTTGATATTAGCTCATTGATTTTATTGTATAATCTATTCTTCCATTCGTGTTCTTTATTTCTGTCTGGTATTGACGTATGCCTTTTAACGTATGGCACCTGTCCATTTAACTCCATCGCTGTTATAGCAGCTGCATATATTTTACCATGTATGGACTCACACGGCCCATCTAACGGGTTGGTGTTTTCGAAAAGGTCAATGTTACATTGAAGCTTGTTTGCAACATCACATTCACATGAGCTGCGTTCTGTTAGATGCTGGTCTGTCACAATCTGCTGAACCTTATTCGTATGAGACTTCCCTACTTCATGTTTAATCTCATCGATATGGTCTTGTGATAACAATTTCCTCCTGCAGATCCATCTTAGTCATTCAGAAAGTTTTTCTCTCAGGTAGCTGAAAATTTGGTTGCCTTTTTTGGTGTTCATTGTGAAGAACCTAGGAGTGCATCGTATTTACTGTCGTTGATTCTTAAAAAGCATTTAACTACTTCTATATTCATTATCATTGCTTCACCGTACACGACTGATTCTGGTGTTACTACCCACAGTAACAGCAACTTGATTACCACCAATTTGGTTACTAGCGTCCCGAATGCTGTCACGCAAAGCGCCAGGCGCACCCTGGCGTCCCTCACAGCGGCACTCCTTTGACTAAATTTCCATTGGATTCCCCCATTTTGGCAAGAATGGGACTGAAAGAAGCGAAAAAGGTCCGGCATGGAAAGGATGTATAGGAAAAGGGAGAGAGGGGTAACTGGAAGGGAAGGAGGGATAATGGTATTGGTCAGCAGGCAGCTGCTCCCTTTAGTTGTCTACAACAAGCGGTTGGGTACTAGGTAATGTCTCCTGTTCCTAGAATTAGACAGTATCATCAGGGTAAACACTGCCTAATCGTTAACAGAAATTTTAATATCCCCCCAACTGAAACTCGTAATGGATAATTCACCACTGAGAAAACCCAAGAGGGTTATTATTATTATTGTTATTATTATTATAATTAATATTATTAATATTATTTTCCAGGTGGTTAGCTGACAGTGACAACGCCCAAGTGACCGATGTCCACTATAGATCTATTTCTGGAGAAGGCAGTTTCAATTGGAGATTTGTTTTTCCCTTCCGATACTTACCGACCGAAAACAGAATGTTGTTGAGGAAAAAGGACTCCAAATTTGCAGTGGATGAAACAGAGTATAAGACTCCATGTCACCTTACTTTGCAGGTGTGGGATAACGACACATTTTCAAAAAATGACTTTTTAGGTGAGACCGTAGATTGTGACGCAAGTCGCATTTAGTTCGGATCTTCAACAGATTGATAAATTTTTAGTAATTTGAGAAGGAAAAATTTAATCGTTTTCTGGATATATTTCAGGCAGTTTGACATTAGAGTTGTCTCGGCTGAAGCGTGGTGCAAAAACTTCTAAAAAGTGCAACTTAAAGCTTTTGGATAAAAGAGCACCAGTTATAAACTTGTTCAGGATAAGAAGAACTAGAGGCTGGTGGGTGTTCAAAAACTACCATCAAAAAACGGGTACTAATATTTGTGCTGTAAGTATTCAACTTTAAAGACTTGAGCACTTCTGCCAGAACATTAATTATGTACCTTTCTGTATCTTTATTAAGAAACACTTTCAAATAGCTACATGCAGAAACCTAATTAATCACTCTGAAAGGGTATGGGTACATCTGAGAATGTCTGTTTACTAATAAACAGAACAGTGAGGAACAATCGTTGTACTGTATTGCCATTGCATGAGTCTTCACGAGTAACTACATATACAACAAATTGTTCCACAAATGGCAGCTCCTAAAGTGATCCGAGAGATAACTTTTTCTGTTATGCCTACTGTAATTTGATGTATTTTCATTTGTAAATTTAAGGAGCAATTTAAAAACAAGAAGAACTTAGGGCAGGAAACACTCCTTTAAGACAGAGTTTGTAGAAAAGTGGAGTTTGAAAAAATTGTAATTCCATGGTGACAATTCTTCTTTGATACTAAACTTAATTGTATAATCTCCCGCCTAAAGCTTTATAAGGTAATTAGCTAGATGAAAACTTACATGCTGTATGAATAACTTCTGTTCTCATGAATTTTTCGCGGGAGAGTTTTTCAACTTCATGAAGCAGAAACTGTTTGTACGACCTGTAAGTTGACGCCTGGGTCCTGCGCATCAGATTACACGATTTAGTTTGGCATTGAAAGACAATTCTCAGTTTTAAATTTCCTAATAATAATAATAATAGTAATAATAATAGGAATAATAATAATAATAATATTAATAATAATGATGAACGTCTTTTATTTGTGATATTCTTACAGGAGGCGAGATTTAGATTATATATCTATTCTACCATCTAACCCCCTTAAAAATACGAGATATAAAAAAAAAGAATTTGTTGAAAATTAATAGGTACCTGTATTCAATAACGACAGAATAAAGTATAATCCAAGTAAAGACATAGGAAAATATGAGGACACTTATGGATTACAACAGATTTCGCTGCTGATCAAGTAGAACTTCTTTCACTGTTTTCTTGAATTTGGATAATGGATTGGTTTCTTCTAAACTGCGGTCTAAACAATTATATGATTTGATCGCATTGTAAATGTATGTATTCTAAAATAGAGATGTGCTGTGGCGTGGAATTGAAAAAGTCTCTCTATATCTAATATTAATACCATGCATATTCCCTCTACGTATGAATTTGTTTACTAAATATGACGATGTTTATGAGTCAGATTTAGGAGCTGGTACTTATATATTTAATCAATTTTCATCCATTTGAGTTCATTAATGGCATTCGATATATACTAAGTGACATATAAATCCGAACACCCAGTTTAAATGGTTTTATTTTAATAAAAGTTGGTGAATGTATTTATCTTACTGTAAATAACAAGTGAAAAAATTTTCAGCCTTACCAGTTGGACATTCCGGTTTTTATACTGCTTTTTTTTAATTCACTAACGCTCTAAAAATGAATATTTCAGCTGCAGTAAAGAATCAACGTTGGCGGATTTTGGTTCTTGACATCCTTTACGATCGGTTACGATGCCTAGAGTACGGAGACGATTTCGTCAACTTAGTGAGTTTGATAGGGGCCGTATAGTGGGACTTCGGGAAGCTGGACTTTCTTTTCGGGCAATTGCAGTTAGAGTGCAAAGAAGTGTAGACACTGTGGTTAGGTGTTGTCAGGCATGGCTTCGAGAAGGCCGTACGCAAAGAGCAATTGGCACTGGACGCCGCCGTAGAACAACAGACCGTGAAGATCGCCGCCTAAGATTATTGGCCTTAAGGGACCGTTTCTCCACTACCAGGTCCATTGCAAATGAATGGTTTGCAGAACACGGAAGACCTATTGGCATGCGAAGTGTTTACCGACGAATGAGAAGTTTTGGCCTGTTTTCATACCGGCCACACTGGGTCCTCCCTTTAACTCGAGAACACCGACGTAATCGCCTTGAGTGGTGCAGACAACGGTCACTCTGGGATCAGGAATGGAACAGTATTGTCTTTAGTGACCAGTCTCGATTTTGTTTAGGCATGCACGATGGTCGTGCCAGGGTTAGAAGGCGACGTGGTGAAAGGAGGAATCCACAGTTTTTTGTTGAAAAACATGTTTATCACACTGTTGGAGTTATGGTTTGGGGTGCTATAGCTTATGGTTCCAGGTCACCTTTAATCTTCATCAGAGGTAACATGAACGCGCAGCGTGATATCCACGAAGTTCTAGAACCCCATCTTTTACCCTATCTTGACACCCTGGCAGATCCAACTTTCCAACAAGATAATGCCCGACCACATGTTGCAAGAGTCACAATAGACTTCTTTCAACATAATGATGTTACATTGTTACCATGGCCACCAAGATCTCCCGACTTATCCCCAATTGAGCACGTGTGGGATATGATGGGTAGGAGATTGCTCAATTTGCAATGTCCTCCTCAGACTCTAGAAGCACTTCGAGAGGAGCTGGTGGTTGCCTGGAATGAGATACCACAGGAGGACATTGACCACTTGATCAGAAGCATGCCTAGGCGCGTTGGAGAATGCGTAGCACATCAGGGTGCATCCACACATTATTAAAGGTCAAAGGGCTTTAAAGCAGGGCAATCATTTTGGAATTTTTATCATTTACTTATTATGCTTCATTAAGTACTTATACAAAATTTTATTAAAATAAAACCATTTAAACTGGGTGTTCGGATTTATACGTCACTTAAGTATATGATCATATCTTCAGAGACCATTTACAAGTCTGCAACATGTATTCATAATACTTTGAATACAATTTCTTGTTATAATATCTAAATAGGGATAGTAAACCACTAAGCAATACGATATCTTTGAAAATAAGAAAGATTCACACAATTGCTTTCTCGCAGATTTATGTAATATGTGCCACTCCTAAGACAACTTTCAGGCTTGCTCAAATAAATAGGATCTAAGAGAGTGAGTGTCGATTCAGTTATCCTTTTCGGTTCAGATATCACCTGTTTCAGATTATAAGAATCAAGGCATTTAGTCAAGTTGTTACAAACTAAAAGTAAATTAACATTGATATCCCCTGCAAGGATGATATCATCATATTCAGCTAATATGGCAATCAACATGTTATCATAGGTATTACCGGCTTCTGTAACAGAGCTATGTGGGTGCCGATAGAATATACCAATAGCAATTTTTTGTTTTGGATGCTGCCTCTTCAACCATATATATTCAAGACTTGGGCCTTGCCCAAATGAAATTATGGAAGAGTTGCAGTGGTTGTTTACAAAGACTGCAACCCCACCACCTCGCCCATCTCTATCACAGCGATAGCAATTGTATCCATTCATTATTATATGGTCATTAGATATATCTATCTATCATATAAATTACGCGCAAAAAATGTTCCTAAACCAAACAAATCCCTAATGAAACGATGTCACCTGTATATAGCTCCAAAATTGTACGAACATTTACCAAATAATTTAAAACAATTACGCAACACATTAGGCTTCAAAAAAAAATTAAAAAAATTTATTAACACGATTGGGAGAAATCAAATTAATAAAATAATCTCAAATATTACACAATAAATGCTCTACCATTCTTACCAATAATTTCTTTTTTCTCTCTATTTTATTATATTTTGCAATTCAACATACATATGATCCATGCACAGGCGTTGTCCTCCTATGGATATATTATATTTATTTACTCGTTTCATGTTCCCTGTATTTTAGAGTAAATAAATATTATTATTATTATTATTATTATTATCTTTTGATAGCCACTTTTCCGATATTCCAACAATATCAAGGTTGTTGTTTTGAACCAGAGTACTAAATTCATGAAATCCTGATAAAACTGATCTGCAGTTTACGTATATATGACCAAATTTTAACACCTTGAATTTATCACTATTCATATTCAATTCTAGATTTCAAGTATGTAACATGTTTTTTATAAGTTGGACAATCTATGTCTTTAGAAGAATGACTAGTATCAAATTAAGTGTGGAATTTAGAACTGTGATTCATCTTTAGAATGTTTGCAATTTTTTTCCATGTGGCCAAAACCTGAACATTTATAGCAGCGTATAATTCGTACATAATCCCGCACAGGACGTCTTTGCCAACTCATGTACATATATATGTGACCTCCATCTAGCAACGTTTTTCTAAATTTTGGGCTAACCTCAATGACAACATTTAAAGTATATTCGGAACATATGAAAGTGGTTATAGCTTGTATATCATCACTACTGAAAATACCAAATTCATTCTGGGACAGGATCTTTTCGATTAATCCCTCAGATTTTGTGTAGGCGCATTCTACATTATTTATCACCATGCGTGGGTGATATTTCTTGATCTCATTGACAGTGAAGTTCGCAGCGAGTTCTCCCTGTATACTCGCCATCAGCTTGGACAATGATGCTTTATTTTCGCAGCTATTTACCCTCCTTACAGAGTTCACACAGATATTTGACTTAGCTGGATCAATGCTCATCTCCAAATCTTCCAACACATTGGAGTTTGATTTGTCCGTACTTTTTATCATCAACTTTTGTGTATTATTAATTTTATCTACAATCTGCTCATCTCTGCTTTTTTTTGACTCTTTTACAGCCCCACTATATGATTTAGTTACATCATTACAATGGGTGTATGAGGTAGTAGCTTCTATTTTTTCAACTGTTTGATTTATTTTGCCCAAAGAAGTGATTATGGTTTCTTTATCCACTATGATCAATTCATAATGCTCCTGTTCTCATTAACTAATTGATTGATATACCTCTCTTTATCTAAAATTATTTCATTCTTTGTTTCTAATAGCTTCTTCAGGTACTGTACTTCTTGCTCTATAGTAGTATTTGCATTATTCTTGAATAAATAACTTGCATCTTTATCTTCTTCTTGCTGTTCTTCATCCTGATTTTTTGGTCATATCGGATAAACACCCTATGTATAGACCAGGTTGAAAGTTGATATATCTTGACAAAAATGTGACTTTTGTGACACAATTTCGGGAGAGGTTAAAGAAATATGACGGAAAAT